TTCAGTGATCTATAAACCCTTGGATGAGACATGTGAGGTCTATGTTGCAATTAGGGCTGAGCATTCTGCAGTCTACTGTCTGGACCAGTTGTGAGTTTTTCTGTTGATTACCATCTACTGCAAACAGAAACTCTTCAATTGATGGTTAACAGCTGTGTTAACCTATGGGTATAATAATAAGTCATTAGGAGATGGTTTAATACTATGTCCCTTTAGCAGAACAATAGTAATAGGTTCTCTCTTAGAGTATATGATCTGTCTAGCCATAGGTTCTTGGCCTAATAATGGTGCCAGTATGGATTTCAGCTTGTAGAGTGGGCATTAAATCCAATTGATTGATTACTCACATGACATTTGTGCCACTACTGCACCAGTCTAGACTTGCTTTTCAACCGCCCTCCTTACCCTGGAGACTGATCAACCATGTCTGAGTGTCCCCCATCATCTTCTCTCTCCAATGGGTTCATTTTATCCAGTTTTACATTCCCATCACCTAGCAAACCCACATAAAGAGAGGGTCCAATTGTCTCAACTGTTCCAGCTGAGCCAAGATCCAAGGGACCATCCACTAGATTCCAGCTGTGTATACAGGCTCAAGAGGAATAACAGAGCTGCCCAGCTGATTTATGGTACCCCAAGATATGATAAGCCACTGTTGTCTAAGCCACTAGCTTTAAAGATCTGTTTTTATTATATTTAATCATATGTATGTCGTATGGGGGGGTACATCTGAAGGCACTGCCAATATGGGGCCAGAAGAGGGCATAGGATCCCTGGATCTGGGGCTGCAGGTGGTTGTGAGACACTTGACATGGGTGCTGGGAACCACCCTTGGGTCCTCTTAAAGCGTGGTTCATACTCTTAACTGCTGAGCTATGTCTCTAGTCTCTGATTAAGCCATTAACTTTTGTTTAATTTGCTAAGCAGAATGAGTAGCTAATAGGGCCTATTATTTCTGGTTGGGTGTTTCTTCTAGTTCTGTGAGTTCTTTTGCCAAGCAAGAAAAACAGAAATTGGTGGTGGTTCTTGCGTCCGGGCAGGCTTTCAGTAGGAAGATGAAATCTTGGAGCGTACACAACAAGCTCAATAATATTTTCTTCACAGGCTACTTCCAGCATCCCAAGCAACCCCATGAAAGCCTTTTCAGAGCAAGAAGGAGAAAGGAACCCAGGCAGGCAGCAGGGCCAGGTCAGCACCACAGACAGCTCCAGCACGCTGACAGGGCACCAGACGCTGAGAATCCTCAAGTACCCGCAGGCAGCGGTGCCCCAGGGAAGTAACTAGCAGTGTGTCAAAAGAATTGGATTTGCCTCATGGATTCTCATTTGCCGTGGGTGCTCTCCTGTCACAACTTGTATGGATTGAGTTTCAGTCGCAAAAGAAACTGGAAATAAGAAGTGATGGAAGTCAAGATAGAATATTGAGAATTAGTGGCAAATGCAGAGGTGGGGTGCCCAGGGCTGTGATAGCAGCTTGGACATGTGAGGTCTGGGGAACGGTCCTCAAAGCCCCCGGAAGGCATGGCTCTAGCTTTGTATCTAAGACGCTGGTCAATATTACTGCAACTGCATTCACAGGCTTACATTTGCTCCCCCAATAAGGTAAGAGTTTCTGGTGCTTCCCACGCCATGGGGACTAAATAAAGTTGCTCTGTCTGAAGCCAACACCTCCTACATCATGGAGACCAAAGGTGCTCTATCTGAATCCATCATTGCTGGGATTCCTAGCAGTGGAAACATTCTTCAAAGTGTCTGCGAGGAGAAGTAGCTAAGATGTGCCATCTAAGCAAAGACCAATCTGGGTTGAGGCCGTGGGGAATCATGTCAAAGACTTCCCAGATCTCAAAAAGCCTCTTGGGCTCCACTTATCCACTATGGGGACAAAGGTCTAGAACATCTGCCCTATATTTCTACCACTGCTGTAACAAATGACCGCAAACACAGTGAGTTAGCAGAGAGGAGAATGACAGCCACTGGGATTAGTGGTGGGAGAGGGAGGAAGAGGTGGGTGAAATGATTCAAGGCTTCAGTAATGTAGAATAAACAGGTCCTGAGGGTGCTGTTCACAATGGTAGCTTAACAGACAGCGGTGTATTGCAAACCTGAAGTATAAGAAGTGGTAGATCATACGTGTGCACATCATGTCTAAAGTGACAAGATCATGCTAACCACGTCCGGCAAGGGCTGTGCTAATTGGCTTGGCTGCCCTCATCTCACATGATAAACTTAGCTCAAAACATCAAGCCATACAAAAATGGGAAATAAGAAATTGCTGGATTTTTGTCTTATTTATGTTTTTTTTTTCCTCTGACAATGCAAATGCTTTTCCGAACCAAAAGATAAAAGTTGAAAATTTAAAAGGAGTGCTCCACCCTCCCCTCCTGGGCTGAAACCACCCGAATTTGTTGTCTTACAGTCTGGGAACTGGAAGTTCTGCAGGTAAAGATGCTGGCTGGGCTGCACTCTTCTCAGGGTGTCCAGCCCTTGCTCTTTCCAGTCTTGAAAGGCTACCTGCAGTCCCTACCTCAGGACCCTTCCTCTGCCTTCAAGGCCAGCAGGAGGACTCCGTTCCACTTGGTACTGCAGCTCCCTCATCTTTGTGGGGACATAGCCATTTCAGCCCGTGCTTTCACCGCAGACACCCAATCCAGCTGCCAGAAGCAGAGTCCAGCCAATTGCTGTATCTTTCTCTACCTGTTTGCTGGGCAATTGAATCATGTTCTGGAATTGGCCAGTGAATAACTGGCTAGGTGCTATTTTTCTTTTTCCCTTTTCCTTTTCTTCTTCTTCTTTTTTTTTTTGTTCCTATAAGATGGTTAGTGAATCTAAGTGCGCATGAGTGTGCAGGTGTGTACCCGTGTGTGCCGGTGTGTGTTTGTACACGTGAGTAGGATCTAGGGTCTGGAGGAGACTATTAGGTGCCTTGTCACTCTTCATCGATTTCTTTGACACGGGAGCTGTGCTGTTAGCCTGTAAGCCCCAGCAATTCTCCTGTCCTTTCCCCTCAAAACCCTGGGGTTTTTGTGACCAAGACAACGGTCACAGCCACACTTTTGCATGGGCTCTGGAATCTGAGCTCAGGTTTTCACAGCTTAGAGCTGACACTCTGGGGCCTTTGTCCTACTTGACCAGTTTCTAATCCTGTTATCACACACACACACACACACACACACACAGACACACACACACACACGCACACACACAGACACACAGACACACACAGACACACAGACACACACACAGACACACACATACACAGACACACACACACACGCGCGCACACACACACAGACACACACACAGACACACACATACACACACACAGACACACACACACACGCATACACACAGACACACACACGCATACACACAGACACAGACACACACACACGCATACACACAGACACATACACACACGCATACACACAGACACACACACATACACACAGACACACACACACATACACACACACACGCATACATACAGACACACACACACACGCATACACACAGACACACACATACACACAGACACACACACACACATACACACAGACAGACACACACACACACACACACACACACACGCACGTTTATCCTGTGTGCTTTAAATAGTATAACTGAACTGACTCTTATTCAAATTGTATGTGTGCTTTTATTGGAGAGCAGGCAGTTGGCCTGGCTAAATTCAGATCAAACGTTCTTACCCATACTTTGTGGGTGGTGACTCCTACCTTCGTCTCTGTGCTGTTATGTAGGTCCACCCCATGTGTGTGCCTTGGCAACTGGATGCACCTGTGCTGGGGTCTACATGTATGTCAATTCTCAAAGCTCCTCTGATCAGCTGAATGCTGGTGCAGAATCTCGTCCACAGATTTAGGGTGTCTTCAGCTCTCTCTTTACTCCCCCTACCCACTTTGCAGTCTTCTCTCTTGGTTAGGACTGCAAGGTTTCCCCCTCCCCCACTATTGTGTTATATTTTACATGGGCTAGTATCTGAAAGAAAGCAGAAATAGGAAAATGGGGAAGGGAGGGACTTGGGGGCAGAGAGAGAGGCAGAGAATGGTTGAGTAATAGGCATTCCCCTGTACCATTTGGAACTTATAACTTCTCGTCAGAAAGAAGGGTTTTTTGTTAAGTGCCTCTGTGGTTCCTACTGCCACCTCCAGGCAGGGCCCCTGGTTTCCTCCCATCACTCCAAATGGAGGAACAGTTTCTTCCAGGGCTTCTCTTGGGTATCCATCCTGTGGTTCTGGATATTGCTGTCTTGGAGTGTGAACTGGCGATGTGGGAGAAGATGCAGGAACTCATGACTATGTGACCTGTTCCTCCAGTCTGAGCCCCACCTTCCAACTGCTTTCTGATTTGCCTGCTTTCTTATCTTCAGTCTGCCCGAGTTTACACTGTGATTCTGTCCAGGCTTTTAATTAAAATTAGCCAGAGAGAAATGGCCTTGTGTGTACATATTAGCACCAGAAATTGAAAGGATTACCTTATTTCAGGGACTCCGAGGGGAGGAAATACCAACTTCCATGGTTTGGAGACTGGGGAGGAAGTGAAATGGGCCTAATGGACATACAGGGGTGAGGTCACCCCTAGCCTGGGATGGGAATCAGAAAGTGAGGATGATAGCTGAGCTTCTCTTGGGGACATGTAAGGATGCAGGGTGCAAATGACTATAGACACCCAGCAAAACTTGGGCCTGCAGGCCCTCAGGGAACACCCGACTCTGACTCCTGGATCCCCATTCATTGTCTTCCAGCATCTAAGAAACAGCTTCCTATGCTGAAGAGTTCTCTGCAGTGGGCACCAGAGTGGGAACAAAGGTCTTCAGGATTGAGATGATGCATTTGATTTAATATCAAGCGGGAAAAAATAGGAGCTAAGAGGAACACGATTGCAATCATGTTTTATATATTCTGTGTTTGTAGTGAATTAATAGCAGGCAGGAAATGGACGTAGCTGTGTAAAAAGTAAAATATGAAGCAGTGAGACGATCAGTTCTACTAGGAAATGTATTTTTCAAAAAATGTCTTTAGTGTAGCCTCATTACAGTTTCAAATATAAGAACATGCAAAAATAATCACTGTCCTCTGGCCTCACAGTCACACTGGTCCTGGCTCTGCTCTGTCCCTTGTCTGGGAAGGCATTCCTTTCTCAGCTTCCACCCAACTCCTCCTGCTACATGTCCCAACACCACAGTTCACCCAGTACTGATGGCACCACACCTCACCAATAGTGCTGTGAGTCTCCATCTTCTCTGTCAGACACGAGTGCATTACTAATCAATCCCAGAACAATCAGCACTACTAATCAATCCCAGAACAATCAGTGTTCTTTCCCATCATATTTAGGTTTAGTCTTAGAGTCATTCTCAGTGTTCAGAGCTCAACTTGTAGTCTCTGCCCCCTAGTTGCTGGAAAGTTCTTCCTCATATTTGTAAACCCTGGTCTCTGGCCTCCATCTTTGGAGGCCCCGTCCCTGTGTCTGCCAAGTCTTGACCCCTCCCCGGAGGAGGATCAAGACGAGCCTGCTAAAATCTTGACCATGCCCTCAGTCTATTTAAACTGCTTCCCTAGAAAGTTTCCTCCTGGTCTCTTTCCTCTCCCCGGAATGGTGGTCACGTTCGCATCCTCCTGGTTCCCCCTCAGGGTCACCCGAGAGCGCAAGAATCCCATTAAACCTGGATATTTTTAAAATTTGGCTTGTTGTGATTTGGCTTGATTGGCACTTTTGCATCAGCAGAGAGCTCGCATTAGGAAAAATTCCTAACAATCTTATTTATTGATTGTCTGTGTGTTCTCCTGTAACAGTCTAAACTAAAGACAGCCTCAGACCTGGAAACCTTGAGCGCTGGGGACAAAGCCTGTCTCGGTAGGTTCAGCAAGATGGTGGACTGGTAAGAGGTGTTCCAAAGCCTCAGATCCACAGGACAGAGGTAGATTAGCAACAGGCATTTGTTAGTGTCGACCTAGAATCTTCTCATGGGTGTCAGAAAGCCTCCATGCAGGACCAAGCCCAGGAGTCTGGAGGCTGGAGGCCAAGGGCAGGTCAGGGTTGCTTAGCAACAGCATAGGTGGGACAAGTCCAGGTCTGCCATTCCCTCTACAAGGAGTGTCCATCAGATGAAAAGACCTTCCTTTGAGTAGGCAACCTGATCCCCTTCCCCCAACTTAATTTCAAAACTACAGGTTCAGTCATGAAGAGGGCAACCTTTGGTCCGTGTAGAATGCTGAGTGTACCAAACCTAGGGAACGCTTCCAGGGAGTTTGGAAGGGGTAGCTGTGAAGACACAGCTGTGAGATCTGATGGTCCCCAGCTTCTTGCTAACACCCCAGGATGAGAGTCTCACATGGCTTCAATCGGCTGAAACCTAAGTTTCGGGAAAGCCTTGGGTTCCTATAGTGAGATCACATATTTTGTCATTTGGATTTGGTCATGGCTGTCCAGCGTGGAGGATGGACCTGGCGCAGGCTGGCTGTTATCCTTCTCCTCTGGTGGCTGAGCCTTGTTCCTCTTGGCGAAGGCCTGGCTGATTTCTGCATGAGTCCTGTTCTTGGTCTCCGGGAGGACCAAATAGAAGTAGACAGCTCCCATGATACACACTGCAGCAAAGACAAGGAAGCAGTAGGAGTCCAGGCTTCTCTGTGGGGGAGGTAGAGACAGAAACAGCCAATGAGCAGTCAGCAAGTTAGCCAGCTGGCTGGAAAGCCAGGCTGCACGATTCTCCTCTGCCCCAGCATTCATATGCCAGCAGTTCTGGATAGAATCCCACAGTGGCGGCTGCTGCTGCCCCAAAAGGCATTGGAGCCACATGACACTTGAGTCAGTCTCAAAGGAAGTGGGGATAAGTCAGTTCCCCACCATGGTCAAGATGAGAGGAAAAAAAGAAAACAGTCTTTATTGCTCTGTATTTTTTTTCTTCAGAATAGGCATTTAAAAACTGACCATTGAGAAGGGACAATGTAATCTTTGATTAATATTATCATTGGCTCATTTTACCACTATCTCCCTCTCCCATGGCACACTCTTGTGTGTGAGAACTGTAAACCCCTAGTTTGTAAGGAAAATATGAATCATGGCATCAAGGATACATGTATTTTTTTCCTGGTATGCAGACGATCTACCCTCACTAATTGGTACAGCCTTGCACCAAAACAGAAAGACCAGGAGAGAGATGCTGGGTGTAGTCACTGTTCCTTGTGTCCTGCTTAGACCTCAGTGAGATGCTGGGCTTCCCAGGGACTCTCCAGCCTCTGCGGCCCCTGACATGGTGTTTGGCTCTCAGTAAAGCGTTTGTTCAATAAAAGACTTCCTGGCCTAGAGAGATGATTCCTGAGCAAGCACCAGGAGCCTAGTTTGAATCCTTAGCACCCATATAAAAACCCAGATGTAGTTGTACACTACAGTTGCCTGTGACCCTAGAACTGAGAGTGCTGACTAGGACAGAGGATTCCTGGGACTTGCTGGCTGCTGGAAGTAGAAGCAGGAGGACTCTAAGTTCATTGTCATCCCTGACGTCACGGGTAGTTCAAACCAATCTTTGGATATGTGAGAGCCTGCACCCTTAACTCTTAAAGGCTTCCTGGTTCCGGTTGCTAGGCCTGACTACTTCATACTACACACACCATTGATCAAAGACAAGATGGCGGTGGTGTTAGTGGCATTTCTCAAGAAGCAATATCAGAGTTTTCATCAACCCCATTCAATCTCTGACCAAAAACGGTGGTTTTGGCGCTCACAGTGCTTAAATGTCTGGGTACTCAGATATTCCAGAGTCTCCAGTGACACACGTTTCGACTCACGGCGTCTCTGTGGTTGCAAAACAAGGACAATAGTGGGTTTGTACGGTTGCTATAAAGAATGATGAAAGCGTCCATCTCAAAGCGCTGCGGGCTGTGAAGGGTGCCTCGCTCTGAGAAGGGTGCTTTCTGTTTGTCCACAGAGTCTGTGAGCCGTGAAGGGGATCAGGGAGACTCAGGGTTTCTGCTGCCAGAGATGCTGTGCCAACACAGAAGATGAGCCATTCAAAGCAGAATTTCAAACCTCCGACTGTTAAGTTCCTTTATTTGAAAAGTGGTGATGTTTGCCCTCACGTTGGCTTGTGATGGAAAGGAATGGGGTTCACAGTCCGAACCTCGGCCTGCTTGCTGACTCTGTCTCATAGATGGTAGAGTCTCGCGGCTCCTGCTGCTCTGGGGCCCCCATCTCTCTGGAGACTCAAGCCAATCCAGACACCTGCAGCCGGGAGGGCTCCTCTAGCTATCTCCACTCACATCTGCTCCATCAGGGAAGTCATGCTGACCCTACCTCGAGAGACAGCCTGTGTCTGACACCTGTCACCACTTTGAAGGCTACTGTGTTATGCTCTGCCTGAGTCACTAGATCATTGCGTAGCTTCTCTGAGTTCCCCACATCTCTCCTACTGCCCTGGATTATTCTTAGGAGAGAAGCCGGTACGACTCAGTTAAGCAAAGCCACTGTTCTGTTAAAAATCCACATGCATGTCCAAAGTCGCTCTAAGTGAAGCCAGACTCCTTCCCGTGGCTGATCTCTAGTCCCCTTACTTCTCCGAGGTCATTTCCTTTCTTTCTCTCTCTGCTCCAGCTTTACCTCCCTGATGGTGGTTCCTAATACCATGCCCCAATGTCTTCCTGGAACAGCTGTCAAAGACCCCCACACATCCTGCTTTCTCGCCTTCACTGCCTCTGCCTACAGGTCCTTCCTTACAGAGATCTCCTCTAACTGCTGTATTGAGAGGGCGCCTCCCAGCCCTGATTCACTATTCTCTAATTGTGCATCATCATACGGCAGAGAGCATAGACCTGCCTGTTAATTAGTTCTCTCCCCACCGAGGGTAAGCTATGTGAGGGTGGGCATTGCTGGTTTGCTTGCATCCCCAGAATGCAGGGAGCTGTGGATAGACAGAGGACCAACAGTGGATGTTTACTGGGTGCAAGGGTGTCCTGAGGCTCTCTACCGAACCCAGGGCGCTCCTGGAGTTGTCTGGGAAGTCTTTTCCGCCCTCTGAACTGCTATGTGCTTACTTCATTTCCCAAAGGGTATCATGAAGTCACTTGGATTAGTCTATTTCATAGACTTCAATGAACCCACAGTGCCCATGACATCTGGGGAAAGGACACTTGTCCCTTCCTTGTGGTTCTCAGGGACAAAAGTGTAGGGAAAGTAGGGTGAGAGACTCCATCTCTTGGGTACTGAGTATACAGTGGTTCCCTGATACAGTTCCCCAAACCAATGTGCTGGGACTGAACCCTCAGTGTGGTGAGGCCTTTATGGGGTGATCAAATGATGAGGGTGGGATTCAAAACTTCATGTTGGGATGCAGGGAACTAGGCAGACTGCTCATATCCGTCTACCTTCTTCCACAGGAGAGGACATTGGGGGGTACCATCTTGGAAGCAGAGAACAGCCTCCTAGAGATAACCCTGCCTATGGCATTTCATGATTGCAGCATATAACAAGGATAGCCCCGCTCCCTGAGGGTACCGGCCTAGAGAAGGCACAGAGCTAAGGTGGACATGCTTGCTCACCAGCTCTCCTACTTGGTTCTGATGTTGGAAGTCACATCATCAATCACTAGTCCTGAAGAAGAAGGGTGTTACAAGACCAGGTTCGCAGGGGAGAGGGGAAGGCAAGGAAGGAGCTAATGCGAATGAGGATTTACCTTTCCTAGTTACAGAATCAGATCTTTGGGGCCATTCATGGGCCTGTTTAGTTACACTTTACAGAAGACAAAAATCAAGCTGGAGTTAGGTTGTCAGTGGAGCTGCTAGGGTCAGAGCCTGGTCCTTGGCAGTTCTAACTACCTAGGCTCAGGCACCCACCCTCAAGCTACAACCCAGAGACAAGTGATGGTTAGATCCAGAGGGCAGAGGCGTGTCTCAGCGGCCATATAGGGAAAAGGGACAAAAATCATGTCCAGTGAGCCACAGCCAATCTTTGAAGTCTTGGCATGAGGTTTATGTTTAGATGGGGGACAAGAGGTGTGTGTAACTAAGCAGTCCTGGTTAAAGCAGAGCCCCACCTACCACTGATCCATCATTGCCTTGGCTTCAGTTTCTCCTGCAAGTTGGTCTAGTAGGTTGCTAGAACTCAGTGAAATCTCCTTCCCTGGAACCAGAACCTCCTCCAGCTGGCACCCTGGCTTCGATCTTTGCTTCCCCGAACCATGCAGTACATCACTACGGTGGTGCCAATGGGTGGGGCATACGTATCTCTCGTATCTCTCTTTAGACTGTCTTCACTCCTGCCAGGACAGTTCATGTTGTTTGCCAAGTTCATGCTGCCAGAAGGGGGCAGGACCGGGATGAAACTCACATTTTTCTCCAAAGCTGCCTTGCCCCTTGCTGTACTCTGGCTGGAACTGAGGACAAGACCAAGACCTGACAAAGTCGATGCTAACATTAGCAACTGCTCTCTAATTGTCTCCTATTCTGGGATGACTGACTAACTCTGTTCATCTCAACCCTGTGGTGTGATCCTACAGGTGAGGCGCCTAAGGGCAGATTCTGGGCTGAGCACCAGTTAAGAAGCAGGCTCATGGAATCTATGTGTGGAATGGAACTTCACTTGGGGTGGATACTTGGCCTATGATCACCCCTCTTCCCATCCCTGTCTCAGCTCCCAGGGACGCTGCTAACCACAGTCACAGTGCTTCTGAAAACACATCCTTTATGCCATTAGATGGCTATTAATGTGGTCCATATTTTTGTTTCAGAGAGGAAAATTTCTTTTCACAATACAGTAGAATGTTGAATTATGCTAAAAATATAAGGCAATTTTGGCAAAATACTACTTTTTGGAAAAGGTTCTTGAGATTAAAGAAAAAAGTCTCAGCTTTTCCCCCCCATTTTTCGTCTGCTCTGAATCAGAACCATGAGGGGGTAACTGATTCCCAGAGCGAAGAATAGAGAAAGCACATTTTGGGGGTTTGGACTCTGGCTCCCACAGAGTGGACCTATGGGATACTATGTAGTGGGGTGGTTGGGTAGGTTCAGAGGAGGGGCAGGGCATCACCTAAATCACTGGGCCACAAAAGCCCAGTGTGCTCTGGAGGTGGTGAAATTATGACCTGAAGAAATTCTGGGTTAGATTTAGAAGTAGCTATTCAACTAATTTATCAGAAGCAGAAAAGGTGCTCTGAGTTGGAACAACTCGTTTTTGCCACAATAGTCTATACATTTGCAAAGAAGAGGTCAGAAAAATGTGTCCATACTTAGGAGGTGCCTATCCATCCTTCATGCTGGGTTCAATCCTGCCTCCCATGACAGCAAAAACACCTATCAAAGCATATTCTTCTCTGGGTGTAGAAGTGTCTCTCAGCTGAGCTCCCTGCATCCTGGGAACACATGTCACTCTTTGGAGTCTCAAGAACTCATCCTAGCATCTGATGTAGACTGTTCCTTCTAGAAGATTCTGATGTTTTCTGTGGCTGGCCACTGGAACGCTGAAGGTGTTGGTATTCTCCCCACATCTCCCTGTCCCTTTCTCCTTCCCTTTCCTTCTCCCTCCCCTCTGTCTCTCTTCCTAGGATATCAGAACAGACAACAGCTTTTCAGTAGTCATAGTGACACCAAGCTTTGCGGCAGTCCCCATGCAGACACCATGCAGGGTGTCTCTTAAGA